GTTGGCAGCGCGCCGCTGCCCGCTGCTGGCACCCTGAGATTGAACTCTCCTCTGCCGAAATTAGCAGCACTAGCACCGGAACATGTATAAAATTTTGCAAGCGTTTAATTGCTTTTGTTGTAATTTTAGATTTAGTTCAACTCATGCGTTTCCATATTGTCTAGCATTTTGCGGGTATCCTGCAATGGGAATTTTACGTTTCTTAGTTATTGGTCGTTATTTTGCACCATTTTTTTCAATACGTAGAATCTCACGCACGCACACACATACACACACACACAAACATAAGCGCGCTCACATATTCTTGAGCATCTCAGCAATGGCAGCCATGCCAGCAACAACGAGTGTACACACATACATACAGAGGACGACGCACATACGAGGGTATGAGTGTGAGTGTTTACCGCCGAAAAAATCAAACGCACAGTTGCATGTGCCTGGGCGAAATGTTACGCAAAAACAAGCATGCGGCATAAGGTATAAAACGATCGTACACTTTTTAGGCAGCATAAGATATTCTCGTTAAACTATTTCCACATTACTGTGGCATGTAATTTTTGCAAAAGCAATGCACGCTGGCCGCACGCTCTGCACAAACAAATGTACCCCGTGCAATACATATACACATAGACTGCAATTACTCAGGGTTGCCACCTTTAACCGAACAACAAATATTGCCACTGGTCAATACATCGTAAATTTGACGGATTTTTATTATAATAGCTTTTGCATTTACACACTATGTGACAGTTCAGCAGTGAAATAAACTATTTTTTATATAAACAATTTATAATCCCAAAAGAAAATGTAATTTCCTGGCAACACTACTGTGACAGCGAGTTGCTCACTCACACATATACACAAACAGACAGACAGACTTATACACGCGCGCGCACCCTAAACGGACGAGTGACAAAACTCACACACAAACACAGGCGCACACACGAGCGCAGCGCAAAAGAAAAATTGGCCCAACAAAAAATAAACAAAAGCAATTAAAAAACGGAGTAGTTGGCAGTACCAATTTTCATTTGGGCATTTAGCTTGCCGTACAATTGCACATTTTATTGCCACTTTGTGTGCGCAAACATACACTGCATTGATATTTGCACGAGCCGATTTTTTCAATGCAAAAACGTAATTTTTTACTCGAATTCTACCCGTAAAAACTGGGCTCTTCAACCGACCGACCGACCGACTCGCTACGTCTGACAGTCAGCCTGAGCGTCGTGTATGTGTTGTGTGGCGTTCTCGTTCTCGTCTCTATTTTTTCGCATCTGCTTTAGCCGTCTATTTTGCACTTAGATTTTCGGCTGTATTTGATTGATATTCGACGACGATTTGCACCTCCCGAAACGCACGATTACATATGAAAGCTAATCAACTCTAATGCCGATTTGTTTTTAAATTGCGAACGTGATTTTAATGCGTGGAAAAAATAAAAAGCCGACGATATATCGCCAGATATGTCTCATCACTTTATTATTTAGACGTATCGCCGAGCCTCCATATTATATCGACACTATTTGATTTATCGATTTGAGTGGCTGTTGAAGGATATCGGAGACTTTTATCTATCGTCTATGCAACATTGTTGTGTATGTTGCAAATATTAATCTGGCGCGCAATGGAAATTTCAAAATCAATGCAATATTATTTGTCATACTAATTGTAAATATAATCTATAATGTTATTTACTAAAAAAGAAAAAAAAAACCCCTGTTTTTATATTACGAATAAAAATAATAAATAAATTTTAGATTTAAATTTAAATAAATTCAATTGAAAATGAAAATAAATTTAACGCTAAAACTCTTACGAATAATGTAAATCAATTAAGTTTGTATTGTCCGAATACCCACGCTTCATTAAATTAAGTGAAAATCTCAAGGGAAACAGAATTTCGATAAGAAATTGTTGCATTTGTTTGTTTACTCTTCCAGTGCCCAATGCTTAAAGTGAAAGTCACCATAATGCTTGCCAAACCCATATGATTCATAAGTCAAATAATTTTATGTTTCTTAATTGCATTTATTTAATTGCTTTACTAATTGTTTTGTTCCCATCACAGTTGGTTATCACAGTTGCGTTTTCTTTTGTTTTCCCTCTTGTTGTCTACTGCCTATTGCCTGATGCTTTACCAGGGGCGCCACAGTTTCTCGCTCTCCTCTGGCATCGGCGATGGTGCAGGACTCTCGCAATCACTGTGATATCCGGATGAGGCGGGGCTGAGAGGCGCCGAGTTGCAGTTGATGCTCAACTCGGTGGCCGCCTCCGATGCGTACATTGTTGTTTGTGCCTCATGGAACTGCTGGAGATTCTTGTAGACGCGGCCCAGATGCGACATCACCGATTTACCCAGGTCGACACTCATGCCAGGTGTGGACGCCATGACACGTGACACCTCATTGACGGCATTCATATAGCCATTGCGGAAGCTCTCCAGTGGCATGGGTGGTGTTGCTGCAGTTGCTTCTGTTGATTTGTTTGACTTCTGTTGGCGCATGAAGACGACAGCTGACTCGAGCATCTCGGCCTTGTCCATGCGCAGAATGCCATCATCGCCGCGTAGCTCGGCGACAAGTGTCTTTAGCGTGTCCAGGCACTTGTTGATGCGCGCACGACGCTGACGCTCCAGCAGCGGCTTCTTCACCTTCTGGTAGATCTGTGTCTTGGTTGTGTATTCCATTTTTACGTGTATGTTTTATTAATTTCAGTTGCGTTTTGCAGTGTACAAAATGCACGTGGTTGCCTTGTCGCTGGCTGTATCGTGAATGATGTCTTTCGGTTGGCAGTGCCCTGCTTTTATAGTTCGCTCAGGGCCCAAGTTCAGAATCCACCCTCGGCCACGGCTACGCATGAGCGCACCCCGTCTCGCTCGCACGCACGCGCATGCCCCTGGCTACGCTACTCTCCCTCTCTGACACGCAGGCGTTGGAACTGTGTGGAACAGCTGCAACTGAGCGGCTGGCATGGAGGACAATCGGCAATCCTTGTGGCTCGTGGCGTGGGAACCGACCTGAAAGTAAGTTTCTCACACAATTTTTTTTTCTCTCGTTTGTTTTCCTTTTGGCCACATGCTTCGCTTTTTTAAAGGATCAGAGCACAAATTTTGCAGCTGTCGCTATTTTGGGCATCGCTCTTGCTGTTGTTGTTGTTGTTGCTGCTGCTGCTGTTGTTGTTGCTGCTGCAGTTGCTGCTGCTGTAGTTGCTCTTTAGACCGGTGTTATTATCCTTAATGCATACTTCACTGCCTCATCCTGTGCGTGTGCGTGGGTCGTTCCCGTTCTCATTGTTATCCTGCCGTGCCATCTCTCGCTTATTGTTTCATCAATGTATGCAGATGATGATGGCATAATGCGGCCTCTGCCTCGATCCCTGGTTTCCACGTTCCCATTGCCCGATGAGTGTTTATTGGGCACAATTAGTGTGGCATATTGGCTTCGTTTGGCTTTGGCTTTGGCCTCTGTCTCTGCCTTGGCCTGCCAGGTCAGGCGGACGCTGAAAGCGTGGCAGCGCGTGGACCGCAGACCGGGCAAAGGTGATCGCTGGGTGCACTGGGTTATCGGTGGGCTTACTTGCAATCCTCCCCTCGACCTCTAACCTTTAGTGCTCAGCTAAGAGTTATCAGCAATAATTGATTGAGTTTCACGCCTAGCAGACACATTATTAATTAATTGGAAATTGAGTTGCGAGCTTGATACTATTTAACATTTTAGATTAGCAATCAATAGATGTTTGTATTACCTAAATTAGGTATAAGTGGTCACTTTTGTACCATGAGCAGCGCTAATTAGAATTTATATTTGTCAATTTTGTCTAATTAGTTAAGACATAGGATGCGATAAGATATAAAAAAGGGTTAATAATAGAGAGTTTTGATTGTATCAATTATAATAATTTACAAGGATTGCAGCTGATAATAAACATTGATAATTATATTCTATATTTTCGATAATATAAACTATGTTAAATAATATGTGTATTTGAAACTTTTATTAGCTTAGAATTAATCAAAAATATTGATTTTTGTTCTTTATATTTTCATATATAAAGTATTCATAGTATTCATAATATTTTCATATTTTTGCAATAAAAAATTCAGTTAATACTTGCATTATTATTTCAGTCATTATACAATTTGATTTCAGGTTGTTATGGCTTTGTTAAATGGTATAGGAGCAGTCAGAAGAAGGCGTGGCTCAGACCTGAATCTATATGTATGTATATTTACAGATTTTAATTGAATATGTATCTAATTGGTCTTAAGTTAATCAGTTTCACATATGTACATATATTAATTGGATATGTATATTTATATATTTGTATTCAGATTTGAATTTTTTTCTACAAAATATAAAAATATTTATATATACCACATATAAAAAAATTATTATTCTATATATATAACTTGCTTAAATATTTTTTTCTTAAAATAAAAAGATTTAATTGTATTACAATTTATATTTCTTTAAATGTGTTGATAATAGAAAAACCAAAGAAATATATATTTAGATAAGTACAAACTAACTTAGTGTTCAGCACTGCTTTAGAAATATATTATTTTAATTAGTGATATATTTCAAGTTGAATATATTTTTAAGAATGCAGGTTTATAAATCTTATAGCTATTTATCTAACTGATTTGAATGTAAAAAAAAAAAAAAAAAAAACAGTTGAACAAAGGGAAAATACAGTGTCTAACTGTGTATTCATAGACATTTCAAATTGCTTTCAAACGTAATATAATTATATTTCATTTGGTAGAAAATCATTATATATTAAAAAAAAATTTAAATATAATTAAATTATAATTATCTTGTGATGGGTTTCCAATTAGAAAATGGTGTGTCTACACCTGAGTAAGAGTAATTAAATTCCAACAGATTATTCTGATTAGAGTTCAAGATGCTGCAATAAATAAATATGATCCATTTTTAAAACAAAAGAGGCAATTATTTTTCTTTTCATATTTCTTGTTTATATTTATGTTTTTTTTTTTTTTTTTTTTTTTTTTGGGTTTTGTTTTGTCATGTTTTTTGCTTAAACTCTAGAAACATTTGTATTGGCTAACAGACTTCTGGCTAATTGTTATAATGGAGTCAATAAAACGTGCCCTATCACAGACCTAACTTAGAAAACTGCGTAACACTTAATTAGAGGCAAAATGAAGATCATTGTAAAGCTTTGTAAAGCGACAGTGCAATTGCGTGCGTGTCCCGATGACTGCGGAGCTAATGAGGACTCCTTTACCAGGGACGCCAGACGCTGGTACCGTTGTTGCTGATCTGCAGCAGAGATTGGGCGGCAATGGGCGTGGATGAGCCACAATCACTGTCGCTGGCGTAGCCACTGGAGACGGGACTGTAGGTGTCGCGGTTGCTGCTGGAGCTGCTGCTGCTGCTGCTGCTCTTGCTGGAGTAGACGGAGTCGCAGTTGATGCTGAGTGGCGTGTTCATTGACATTGGCGCTGTGTGCTCCATGGGCTGCTCCAGCTGATTCAGGCGCATGCCCAAGTGGGTCATCAGCGTGGTGCCGAAGGCGACATCAACTTTGGGCAGTGCAGCCAGTGCACGGGAAACCTCATTGGCGGCACGAATGTAGCCGGCACGGAAACTGTGCTCAGTGGCGGATGCAGCGGCCTTGGAATTGGAATTGGCGGCCTTGGACTGCTTCAGTTTGCGCAGATAATCAACGGTGACCTCCAAGATGTCGGCCTTTTCGAATTTGGCATCACCAGTCTGGGCCACACACTCGGCCATCAGATCCTTGAGGTCATCCAGGCACTTGTTGATGCGTGCACGACGCTTGCGTTCCAGCAGGGGCTTCATCACCTTGCGGTACTGATAAGTCTTTGATTGTTCGTATTTGGTGGCCATGTTGCGTTGTTTGGCGATGTCTGTTTGAATGTAAGTTGAGCTGTACGATGTGTACTGCACGACGATTGCGTTGAGAATGCTGCTGCCATCTCCAGTTACAGCTGCTTTTATAGCTGCACGTGCCGACGTCGACGTCGACCGCGTCTCGTGCTCAGCGCACGCACAAAGAGAGCCAACGGCAGAGAGTGGAAACAACAAAAACAACACCACCTGACGAGCAAATTACTCAGTCGTTCGGCTCGCTTCGGTTCGTGTCTGTATTTCGGTTATCGGCTCTCGGTGCGTTTGCCTCTGCGTCAGCGTCTGCGTCTGCGCCTTGCAGCGATCCTCGCCTGCTGGTGGTTGGTTTTTCTCTTGTTGGCTCGGCAAACAAGTTTGTTGTGTCTTGGCAGGGGATGAAACTGATGGTGCGTCTGTCTGTGTGTTGGTGGTGTCGGTGGTCGATGGTGGTGCTGCTGGTGGTGGTTGTTGCACATGTTCAGCATGTTGTTGTTGCTGTTGTTGTTGTTGTTGTTGCCGCTTTTAGCTCTTCTCTGTTTTCTTTTACATTGACGTTCGAATCGTGGGAAACACTTTGCCCTCAAGTTTCCCACAAGATTTTTCTCGCTCGTTGGTGTTATAAGTTATAATCGCTCGGCCGTGTAGGGTGAGCGAGTAAGAGAGTAAGAGAGCGAGCGAGAGATAGAGGGAGCTAGATACAGAGTCTTCGATTTGAGCCCTTATGCACATTGCACAGTGGGCGAAACACATGCGGAAATTTTGTACAATACTGAATTGAATGAACTTTAGGACTTTCCACTACGTGTTTCTTCTACTTGCTGTGTAAAATTCTGCAGCCTCGCTAAAAATCTGTTATGGATTTTACGTGGCATGTCCCTTACTTGATGTGGCTAGTTTCAGGGTTTTCGAGTACTGCCTTTGCGTGGGAATGAATGTCGTGAAAGTTTTCGGTATTGTAAGGTAGTGCAAGGTAGAAAACTAAGAGATCTGTTGTGGAATAAACGTGGCATGTTCTGTACTTGATACGGTTAATCTCCGGTAATTCGGTACTGACTGTGAGATAGAATTTTAGGAAATATGGCGAGTGGAAAAGTGAAGCTACAAGGCTGAATTTCAAATGGATAACGCCCAGGGATTTTCGGACTAAGTAGGTGTGAATAGATCTCTAAGTTATTTTACAGGTTTGGCAAATAAACGTGGGAAGTATAAAAAAAATAATAATAATAATAATGTCGGTCTTGTAAGAATATAAAGTTAATACTTGGAAGTTTTTATATATATATTTTTGTAAACTTTTTTTTATTTATTTATTATTTTTCAGAGTTTATTTATATTTCACTAAGCAAGTCTTCTGGTATATTTAATTAAATATTTATCTAGATTAAATATTATTTAAATTTTAGCTGAAAATCGTATATTAATCTAAATTTATCAGCATTATTTCTGCGCTTGCCCCACTGTAAATCTGACCGTGCCCAAGATCCAGTCATGGAGAGTGGTGTGGACAGTACCACCGAAAAAACTACCACCTGCCTTTTATTTAATTTTTTTTCTTGCCAGACGTGGCCCAGAGGTTCCTCTCTGCTGTTGTTGCTATCTCTGTTGTTCTTATTGTTGGTGTTGCTATTGCTGTTGCTGTTGTTGTTCTTGTTGTCAATTATGAATGCTGAATTGTAGCTTCTGTTGAACACTTGGGCCACGCTAAGTGGCATGCCTGGGCACGTCGTGGGACCGGGCAGCCAGGAATCGGGTAACGAGCATGTAGGGACGCTGTAGGGACGATGCGGGGCATGCAAACTAAACGACTGTACGGCAAATTGACACACACTAAAGATTAAATGTATCGCATTCGTTAACTATATAAACAATATACGTGGCCAGTTTGGCCACGGGCAGGAAGTGCGAGCAGCCGATCATGGGCGAGAGGGAGAGAGAGAGACAGGGATTTAGAGCAAGGCAATCGCATTGCATGCGCAGGGGGATGAGATGGCAGAGCATGATGATGATGCCGATGCCGTGCTGAGAGTGTGCTGAACAGCAAGCCGTTACAATCTTTTCGAGAGTGTGAGAACATTTTTTCAACTGCACATGGCGAACGGATCGACAGATCGACGACTCTTAACAGGGGCACATTTAGGCACGCAACGGACTTGGGGGTTGCTCGGCTTATTGTCAATGCAACGCTCTTGTCATCGTTGTGGCTATTCATGTTGTTGTTATTATTGCTGCTGCTGTTGCTGTTGCTATTGTCGTTGCTGTTGTTGTTGGCCGTGTAATTGAATATGTGCGCATGCTTGGACCGCGTAATAACGCGCGACAGACACACGTAAAATGCCAGGTTAGATGCTTGCGAAACGAGGGCGCGCAGGCGTCAAAAGGGTTGCTAAACGAATGTGGACGGAACTCGGGCGAAACCTTATCTAAATTCAAATTCGAAACATATGGATTATCATAGATTGTACAGAGGAATTGTATGTGGATTAACTTTAATTAAATTAATATTCTGTAGTTCAGATTTTATATTGGCTTTATAGGAAATGTTTAAGCATTTATAGGATCATTTGACTTTTATGGAAACTATAGAAATTAAGTTATGACAAACTCCCTAAAAAAAAAAAAAAAAAAAAATTAGAATAAAAAAATAATAATAATAATGTCAGAATGTTGTTATAATAAAATTGATCATGTATAAATAATATCAATTAAAATAAGATTAAATGAAATTTAAAATAATTGTAAAATAAGATTTCAAGTCACATCAGGCTTTAGATCTTAAGTGTATCAAATTTTATGGAATTTAATATTAAGTGAAATGAAACTTCATATGTATACTCGTATAACTAAATACAAATATACAAATGCAATATATTAAATATAGTGAATATCTTATTTTATAATAATGTTGTTAACTTAGAAATGTTATTATTTCCCATTGTATTGAAGGGAGTTGATTTAACCGTAAACACAACTCAATCATCCGCTGAAAATTGACTTCAAGCCAATTTAATAGACATACAATGTCATTGTATTATTAATGAATAAATAATAAAACTCAAATAATATTTTTAGGTTTACTTTGCAAGTCATTTATTTATAGCTTAAACTCTAGAAACATTTATACTAAACTCCGGTCCGACATTGAATATATAGCTATATATTACAAACATATCACAAGTTATTTAAAGTTGGCATATGGCGGACATTAAAAGTTTGGATTCACACCTTGGCCTGGGGAACATCGTTGACATTGCTGCTGTTGATGGCTGCCTGCCTGAGTGGGTAACTCCCATCCTGTCCAGCTGCCTGTCTGATTGCAGTGGCAACTTGTTTATCAGTTGCCCATGCGTTGCATGCAACCTGTTGCGCATGCTGAGTGCATGAATCGAACTGACTGACTGGCTGGATGGCTTCATTGAAGAAGTCTTTTCATTCATACATTTGACCGCTTCTAACTACCGGTTTGTTGTTGTTGTTGTTGTTGCTGTTACTACTGTGCATGCCAATAAAAGCAACCGTCTGCGGTTTCCAGGCAGAAGAGCAATTGATGTGCGGCATTCGATGTCTCCTGCAGCATGCGTTCGTTGGCCTGATTCTGCGCAATCTCCTCCAGACTCTCGTAGTGCTGGCAATCTCTGAAGTTGTTGTTATTGTTGTTGTGGCCGCTGCCGCTGCTGCTGCCGTTGCACTTGCCGCGGCGCTGCAGCATTTTGGCAATTAGATTCTTAACTCTCGACATACTCGTGCTTAGATTGTTGTTTGCGTGTCGCGTTGCAAATTTGAACTGTGCTGCTGGGTGAACAAGTGTCGCGCTTTTATAGCACAGCATCCCGCCCAAAAGTCGAGCAAACCACCACCACCATCGCCGCCATCACCACCCAGCGAACAAGTGCCACATGCGCAACACATGTGCCCAGCACGCGGCTGTCCGATGTTGCAAGTTTGCTGCGGCAACTGTGGCAACTGCGGCAGCAGCAGCCGCCCAACACTCGCCTGCCACGCTTTCAGCGCAGGCGAAGTGGAGAGCAAGCTCAACACGTGCAGGATAATCTTGTCAGTCGTCCGCACCCCTCATTGTCGAGGCTTCCTTTCCCTTCGTTTTTGTTGTCTCTCTGTGCTGTGTTTTTTTTTTCTCCTTATTCAATATAACGAACGCACAAAATAAATATTGAGAGCGTCGAGCAGTTGTGGTTCCCATGGATAAGGTTCGATGGCCCTCGGTTTGGTTAGGGGAAAAATATCCCACGGTTCGAGTGGCAGCTGCTTGCAATTTAGGCCACAGCCCGTTTCGTGTTGCTGTTGTTCTTGTTGTTGTTGTTGTTGTCGTTGTTGTTGGTGGTGGATGTTGACTGGCTGACACATATTGCACTTGCTGCCTGGCGAAAGTCTCGCTCGACCTCTAAAGCCTGCTCGGACAAGTGTGTCCACGAGTGTGCGAGCGTGCGTGTGTGTGTGTGTGTGTGTGTGTGTGTGCGAGTGTATGTGTGTTGCTCGCATCTCCTAATTGGCACGCGTTCAATTATCAAATGCATACCAAAATTGAAAAGCCCCAGTGCCGCCGCCTCCTGCGCCGCTTTGCACCTGATTGAAATTTGCAAGTGCGCTGAAGCTTCTGGCCGTTGGCAGGAGTCGCGTGGCAGACGCACTTGCCTCGTGCTGCGCTGTGGCAGCAGCAGCGGGAGTCGCCTGCGAGGCGTTGGGCGGTCACGTGGCCAGTCATATATTTGATTTGCTTGTCACTTGGCTCGCTCTGTGGTGCACAAAGGTGGCGCAGCTCAGTTTTGTTTGATCGCCACTTGATTGAGTTTTTATGGGCGTTTTGTGGATTATAATTTGAGTGCTATTGCAGTCAGTTTCAATTAAAGCTGTGGCCGGGTGTGGCACGCGCCACATTTCGGGTGGTTGCATAGGAAATTGTTAGTTAATGGAATGTGGTTTTCAAGTGGTTGTAGCTATGGACACGTAAGTCTATCAGTGCGTGGCCTAAAGTGTCGCAGTGCGTTTACCACTAACCCAGGTCTGGTGGTCCACGTAGACTCAACTAATTAGAATCGTCGGCAGGTGTTGGGAACATTTGCTCTGGCTCTTCCCACGCAGATTTCTCTTGACAATTGCCCAGTTAACGCTCAACTAATTTCAAGTTGACTTTTTTGAGCTATAATGCCTGGGAAATATTCTCTTAATGCTCAAATAAATATGCTTTTATACACAGGCAAATAAGGTAAGCAATTCCAGGTGATTTAGGTGTTGACATTGTATCATCAGGTTTCGGTTAACTTGAGCTTTGGACAAGTCGTTATTCGGTATTCTCTAGGATATTTATTGGTGAAGTGCGTCGTGTCACATTGAGTAGTTGAGCTAAAAATAAATATGACCTATTAAAATTTTAAATGAATAAAATAAAAAAATTTTAAATAAATAATAAACTTGAGATTTTGGTCACTAAAAATATAAAAATGTTGCCAGGCTTCAATTGAGAATCTATTAATTAATAATATTAATAAGAATAGGTAAAATAAGTCCCTCACTAGAGGACTAGCGATTAGAGGCGCTACATCCTATCCTATTGAACATAAATAAACGTGGATTCAATCAATATACCACTGAATAATTTAGTAACAATAGGTCTAAGCTTTTTCTCGTCGGAATATTAAACATATGATTATAATCTCTCCTTGAATATCTGACTAGGAACACCAGCCTAGTCTATGTATTTATGTAATTACGTATGTATGTACGTATAAAAGTATGTATATATGTATACATGAATTATTAATAATTAAATAATATTTCCCACCTTTTATTTGTTAAGCTCTTAAAAACTAGTTTTTTTTTATCAGCGTCTTTCTAATCTTTGGTCAGATTAGTGATCTAATCTCTTAGCTTAATCTGTACATTGCATTGCATTTCTGTAAAAATTTGTTACTTATTATGCTAATAATTTCTTTTCAGAATAGATTTTTACTACTGATTTATGTAAAACTCGAACTAAGGCTCTATTTAAGTTTTTATTTTCTACAAATCTTTTTAAATTGCCATAGATTATATAAATATATATATATATATTTTTTTAAAGAGACTATCAACCCAATTCATGTTTCGAATTCCACCGATCATGTAGTTGCTGCTCTTTGGAGCCATGATCCACATCCTTTATCAGCTCATATCCGGCAATTAAAGAATATTATCATCTTATATAAAGTTTGGTAGTAATTACCCTTACATTAAATTATTTACCTTAACTGTATATCTAAATACATATGTATATACATATAAATATAAATAATATATTATATAAAATACAAGTTCCTCTGAATAATTTGTCTTCACTAGAATTGAACCATTATCAATAAATTTATTTTTAATCGCTATTCATATTATCTGAAATGTGAGTTGTAATTATGTATATAATTTGGTATAATTCCATTACAACTGACTTTCAAGGTCTTCAGCTTTGCTCCTCTGCATGCAACGCTCTGAATTATATCTGTCGGATTGCAAATTTGTTAAGTTTTGCACCTGTTGTCAATTTGGCTCTGAGGTTTTTTCCGTCCATGTTCTTAGGCGCACACACATGACCCAATGCTCATCAAATCAAATCCTCAATTGACGACTCATTGATGTTGGCCGACAATAAAAAAAAAAATACAACAAACTCAATTCCAATCACGTCAACGGTAGCGCCAACTTTTCACCTTCAGCTTTGGCCAATCAGCGGCTGTCGTTGAAGTTGAAGTTGAAGCTGAGGCTGAAGCTGTGGCTCATAAACTCCTCGGCGGTTCAATTAGCGCATGTCGTAAAGTACAAATAACTATTGCGCACAATTCCGCAGAAACCTCGAGGCAGACTTTGAGGTATAATCATTAAGCTGAAGCCGAGTAGCCGACATCGCGACGACGATTTAAATTAAACAATCGACAATGACGACGACGACGACGACGGCGACGGCGACGGCGACGGCAGCAGCAACATGATGACGACAAGAGTGAAAAACTAAAGTAAAGCAGTCAGTAATCAGTCAGTCAGACAATCAGACATTCAGTCACTCAGTCAGTCACTCAGTCAGCTAGTCAGCCAAGTCGTCAGGGCAGCCAGCCACACGACGCTGATAATACGCGTCGCGCCGGCGCAATAAATGTGTGCCGTCGACAGTCGAGGCCCTCATGTTGTTATTGTTGTTGTTGCTGGTGCTGTTGCTGTTGTTGTTGCTGTTGCTGCTGCTGTTTGTAATCGTAACCATATAAGCGACTTAAATGGCAGGTGTGCACATCGCGTGGGAAACACACGACGTTACTCGAGCGGCTCTCACGATATGAAAATCGAGCAAGCGACGCACAAGTGAACGACAGACGACAGACGTCGGACGAGCTGCCGAGCTGCCGAGCTGCGGGTGCCACTTTCCGCAATGGAGCTGCCTACCTACTTACCTACCCTTCTTATAAGCATGCATCCTAATTGGAGCTCTACAGACGCTTGCTGTAGTCGCCGTATGTAGTTTGTAGCAATGCCAGCCCGAGTGTAATTATAAAATATTGTATTTTTATTGGGACGGGACTTTGTGAGCTGTAATTGGATTAACTCTCTAAAGGCATTTCGAAAGGATAGCTGATTGCGGCTTAGCAGACTCTCGTTATTTGTTTTGTTGTGTTAAAAGTAAGTATACGTACACGTATATTCAGAGACAGATTAATATTAATTATTAATTTAATTGAAAGTATGGATGGAGACATTTTTTTCCAATAAGCATAGTGAAACTAGTTTAGTACTTAAGCTAATAAATCAAGGTGATATATAACTTCAAAATATAATTCAATGCAGATCTATGTTTGTTTATACTTTACAAACAGCAGCGACCAATATATATATACTAACCTTTTATTTAACGCCTAAATCATAAATATTACAATTTCGCAGTTTCTTAACAGAAAGATCTATAGGCATAGTCAACTTATTACTTTATAAATTTTCAAAATAATATTTTCAATTAAATCAATATTGAAATGAATGCAATGCTTCGAATAGTAGTAGTAAGTTTTTAAAATAAATAAAGCATAGGTAGGTAGCTACAATAATAGTAGTATAGTATATAGTATAGTATAGTAGTATACAATAATTACCAGTTTCAGTAACAATACTTCATTCCTAATAAAAATTTGATTTAAACAAATAATAAACTACAAATAAATTATGAATTCAAAAGAAATCAATATACATATGTATGTATAGCCAAACCAAGTCTGTACTATAAATTATATATTACGTATTTAATATACATATATTTTAATATAATAAATTTGTATATATTCAATACCCATCAATCAATCAATTACTCGGCAATAACTTTAAAAGAATTGACGCAATTGTCAAACCACAAGACAAGTAATTCCAGCCAATCCTTAATCGAACTCATTTTATGTAATATGGCTTGATGAATTTGATTTGCAAAATACTTAATCAATTAATTTTTGATGTTATATCATGTGCATGAGATCGAATGTAAACAAATACTAAAGTAAACAAATAACTAATTTAGCTCATTATATAAGACAATACCATCATATCCAGTTCAATTTGAAGTCAAATTGGTACAGCCAGTACTTTGAGTAAATTGTTGCGGTCCGGTCAGAGAATCATGGGGATACAAAGGATGCAGCCATAAAACCACATCGAAGCCCGAACATTTATAGCTTTGCATCAATTTTACCTTTGGCTTGGCCAAGACAAATCACCACCGTCCAGTCAATTGTCTGGGCCCTCTTGGTCAGAATTTTACGGTTTAATTGCAGTTACAATGCCTCAG